GGGTGTGTGGATGCAGCTGTGGGTGGTGCAGCGCAAGCCATCCATGGTCCCTCTGTAGGCGCGGGCGTCCTGTGGCTTGCCACAGTGACAGGCAAATCCGAAACCGGATGCCGCCAACCAGATACCTGTATCGCTTGTCACCTGGGCCTGGACAGTAACAACATTTGAAGTACAATATGCCCAAAATGGAGTCCAGTGCAAAAGAAGCTCACCGAGCAACAGCTGAACAATATCTGCGGCTGTTGAAAAGCGGTCGGATTTGGTATTTTATGGTTTGCTTGCAGCAGACCCTACCACGCCGAGTGCGCTCGTTTGACTGCAAAGAATGAAAATAATGAAAAATTAAGCAGGCTCCTTTTGGTCCTGCACTGGTTATAAGGTTGTCCCACTTGTTTGCTACATGTAGGTTTTGGCACAGCAATGCGAGGAATTAGCGGCGATAGGCAATGAATCTAGACTTGGTGAATTCCCATTTCGGGTTCAACCGCGGCTGGGCTTATGGCTTTAGACTTCACCTCAGAACATAGTAGCCGAGCCAAGGATCATCATCATCATTATACATGTCAGATAGAGGTGGGGAAACACCTCCGCTATTGTACCGCAATACATAAAGGAAATACGTACATAAATAAAATACAGAAAGGAAAAATAAATACGACCATTGCATGCCAGCTGAGCTACCAGCAACGGGTAGGCATCCTTTCGTTAAGCTACCAGCCAGCTACTAGGTAAAAAATATAGTTTTACGCTAAGAAATGAGATCGTAGGTGGAGGGGAGGCTAAAAAGGATGGGGAGGGACAAAGAAACTCACAGCACGAACGCCGCTGAGGTCGGCTCCTTGCCATGTCAGCAAGTGTATCCAGCCAAACGTGTTCACCGTCTTTTGGACCCCAACCAGGTGGCCGTAAAGCTCCAACCGAGGCTAGCTCCGAAGTTAGGCGAGCCAAGGATAAGGGTAAAATTCTGAAGATAAATACACGGACAACGTCCATCCGAAACCAAAGGTCTTGATTGAGGACTCCATTCTTCCATCTTTCTAGGTTTGGATACCCTTGCATTATCTCAGTCCAGAGAGAACTAAGATTATTTCCTGGAACTTAAACCAAATCCTGCATCGGCCATCGTGCAGACCATTAAGGGTCGTCTTATCTGCTGCATACAGCAGGGCAGATAAGCGAAAACGTACTACTGGTGGAGCCTCCTTCCTTTATCTTCCACCTGTTTCTCTTACTCCCATCCCCAACCCCATTACTAACCTTTCTTCTATAAATCCCAAGTAAATTGAGAACAGCCGAAATACAAGTGGAGTCTAAATATCTGCAGGTACCTTCCCGCACCAGCCAAGGGACGCTTATCGGCAACAGTCCCTTGTAAGTCCACGCTGTCCTGTTTCCCCGGGCGACGTACAACGTTTGTACTCTATGATAAATAGGACAACAGGCTGCAAGCGCACGCACGTCAGACACACCAGGTATTGAAGTGTGTTGAGTATTTGAAACTAGGATCAGTGACCATGACGGGGTTGTTTAATTAGCTGCGCCCGGTTTGTGCTCCCACTATTGGTTGCACACATCCAGGGTTATGCTGATGCAGCAGCCTCTGGTCAAGCTTGGATGGCTATGGTTCCCAGCTCCAAGGCTCAGTCAAGATTTGTTGATTATCTTCACGTGGGCAGCCATTTGTGTGCAACCCGTTTAACGACATTGACCAAGTTTGACCCACGGAGTAGCAATGGACGTGTTTGTTTGTTGTTTCCCTTACGCTACCACCGAATGCAGTTCTGATATTGCCAAGAGCAAGTTCTAACACGAACTGAACACGCTATTACGCAGTGTCATCACTTCTGATATAGCGTTCTTTCAGGTCTTCTGAGCAACACAGAGGCTCAGCAAGGTGGCAAGTATGGACTTGACTCCGAGTGGACGGAGAACGGCGAGCGTTTGTTACAACTGTGTGTGGAACACCAGTTGTTTTAGTGGCACGATTTTAGGTACAGTGGACACCGAAGTGCTACTTGTCATCCTCCTGTAGATGGCCAACGGTGAACCTGAATAGGTCACACTGACATAAGGTAGAGTTGGCGCGGTCCATTCTGCGTTGTCGCTCGTTCTGGAGTATTTGCGTCGACTCTGATCATACCTTGTTGCGTCGCCGATTCACAAAGACGGTAGCAGGGCTGAGCCCACAAAATACCACCCTGTGTCTCTTCGCCCTGTATTATCCCAAGTCATGGAATCCATTGTTGCTGATGAGTTGGTGTATTAGCTAGAAAACTGTAACATTAGTGCACCCGAGCAACACGGCTTTCGTCGACAGCGATTATGCACAAGGAACCTATTAATCGCACGGAGTAGTTGAACCGAATTAGCTGACGCTGGAGAGGCCGTTGCTGGGATCAACTTGTATTTGTCGAAGGCATTCGATCGTTTAGATCATCGGTGACCTCCACTTGAGCTGACCCGCCAACTTTCTTCTGCAACGACAATTAGGGATCAGTCCGGAGTTCCTTATCTGAAACCGTGGCAGTCGAGTCTGGGGTGCCCCAGGGCACAGCTCTAGATCCACGGTTGCTTTTGGTGTCCATCACTGGCCTATAATGGAAACTCGCTTCGAATTTCCTGCTTTTTGCTAATCATATCAATGTATGGTGCCGGATTTAGGTGGATGCCGAAAGAATTCACTTCAGTGTGACCAAGATATGCTACGTGAGTGGTCAACTAGGAATCTGCTGCAATCCAAAGTGGGCAAGTGGAAAGTATGCTCCATACGACGCCAGAGTACCTATCCCTACAAGTTAGGCACGTTAGTACTGCAACAATCATCCATCAAACGCGACCTTGGCACGCTTGTTAAGGATAACTTGGGATGGTTTAAGTAATCTGCAAAAACATGGAAAACTAGTAACCAGCACGTCGGCATGCTACTACGGGAGTTCGGGCAATTAGACCCCAGTATTTGCGGACAGCTGCTGAATGCGTATATTCGCCCCCATCTCGAATACGTAATCCAAGCTTGCCAGCCATGGCTGGGGCACGACTTAACTGCTCCTGACCACTCTCAACGTCGGACTTCTAAATACCTCACTGGAATGCGCCGCCTTGCATACGAGCAGAGGTTGAAACTTTTGGAAGTATGAGAAGGCGGTATCGCTGATTACAAGGCGACTTACTTAATGTTTACTTGATTTTATATGATCTAAATCATGCAGTCCGCTCTCTACTGCAACTCAGCAGTAAAATCATACTTAGAGGCCGCTCTGGCGTGCCGTAGACATTTCTTTTCTATTAGTGTGCGGCAACCATGGAATACTCTCCCCGAATCGGTTGTTTCTGCATCCCAGATAGCCATATGTAAAAGTCGGTTGAATGACGCATTCCGCCATTTACATTTTGTTAATTGACGCTACTCTCCATCCTACTCCCTGGATGTAAAGTAGATTTATTTTCCTTTCACCTGTTGAAACTATGGAACCACTCGGAGTGCAGTACATACGACAAGTAAATGTTGTTGACAGTAGAACTATTGACTGCATTTTTTTGTCAAACTTTTTCGATAACTTACCAGACTACCCAACCGCGCTTGTAAAGCAGTGCTTCTTAACGCATAGCAAATCATTGTTCATTGTTCATCATGTGTAAAATACATGGCCAAGCCACCGGAGCCTGGTGCGTGAAATAACGGTGCTGAACGGCTCACGTAATCGGCCATACCGTCTACTGAAAACGCCCACAAGTTTCAGAATTTGATCGCGCATTTCTGATGTAGAGGTTGGTTCATTGCGGTGAGGTCATGCTTCAGCCATGACTGTCAGTCTTGATTTGCATATTCGACCAACGGGAGCATCGCAACCATTGAAACCACCACCGGGTTTGCTACTGAATTTGAGTCTAGCCATCCTAAACTTACTAACGAAATTCAGTTGATGTGGCTTCCAAACTCCAGGTTCTCAAAAGCTGCCCTACATGAGTGTCAGACGGCTGCGGATTTTTGAATCACCTTGTGCTGGATACTACTTTTGC